CGAGAAACCCTGACTCGAAGGAAAAAAAAAAAAAAACTACAACTCTCAAAGTGCCAGCTTTGGAGACTGAGCCCTTTCCAGACTTGAGGACTCATACAGGGCTACAAGTTACCAGAGAAAACCACAAACCACAGCTCCTATCCCTGCCTTGATGGGTGTAGTCTACATGTCAACCTGGTTCCACCTTTGAGGCTTGGCCATCCCTGTTCCACAATTCTCTGCGTTACACTTTGAGGACTCTTAGAGAATTAGGGAAGGAAAGCTGAAAGTGGCCTGTAGCAATCTCCCTCTAGAGTGGGTAGGCCAAAGGGGATGGGAAGCATCAGAGATGGAGGTACAAGCCAGCTTCTGGGAGGCAGCGGTTGTTCCCAGTATGCAGTGAGCTTTTAATGTTTATGCTTCTGAGACATCCAAAAGAGACACTGTTTTAGAAGATTCAAGGTCTATGGGCTTGTGAGTAGCTTCTTCCCTGGGAGGCGGCTGTGTAGACAGGGTGTGTCTGGCCGACTTCACCATCCTCGTTTTTCTCTCCTGCTAGGACTTGGTGGCCTGGGTGACAGCTGGCTTTTTGCACATCCCACATGCAGAAGACATTCCCAACACGGTGACTGTAGGGAACGGAGTCGGCTTCTTCCTCCGGCCATATAACTTCTTTGATGAGGACCCTTCCTTCTACTCTCCAGATTCCATCTATTTCCGGGAGAACCAGGATGTCAGGGACTGTGAGGTCAACCCCCTGGCTTGCCTGTCCCAGACTGCCACCTGTGCCCCGAACCTCCCTGCCTTTTCCCATGGGGGCTTTGCTTACAAATAAGTGTCCCCAAGATGGACAACCTAGCCAAGGGCTGGGGAGTAGAGCAACAGCTGGGCAGTGCAGGGCCATCTGGTTCCTTCTGTCTCCACTTCTCTGATGTCCCCTCTCTCTTCTGCTGCCCTCCTTATCTCTCCCTCCCTGCTTGGAGCTTCCTGAGCCCATGGATGTCTGACACACAGGGGCATTGAGCTTTGTTGAGTTCCTGCCTCTGGAGAAGATTAGCCTTGTTAGGAGCCTGGAGTAATGGCTGTTTTGTTTTGAAGATGATTCCTTTCCCCCACCCCCACCCCATCCCCCTATTTGGCTTTCATTAAAAATTTTATAATAGCTTTGAGGACTCTACAATGAGGATAACTCTCTAGAAACCCGAAAGTAGAGTCTCTCTGAGTCCTGCACATCCGCAGATTGATTTTTCAACCACATTCCTTTCCATTTAAGCCTCTTTCATCTCCTCTCTCTCTCTCCCTCTCTCTCTCTCTCTCTCTTTCTCTCTCTCTCTCTCATTCCTACTTGCTCACACATGCACATACTAGGATTCCCACTCAGTCCAAAAAACGATGTCTGCCCTAAGGGTTCCTCAGCCCTCATTCTCAGCTGCACTCCCTTCTTCTAGACCAGAGTCTGGAAATCTCAAAGATGCAATAGAAAGTCTCACTGGAGAAGATC